AAGTGGAGTCTGATGAGCTGTGTGACTTTGTGGTGTTAATTACAGTGATGCTAAAGGCACCTGCTTTCAGTATTTCTATATAGCAGATTTCACCTCTATTGTCTGTGATATTGGAGGTGTTGCAACCAGGACAGGCATTTACTGGAGAGTCGTTTGTCATGGTGTAGTGTCTAACTTTGATTGTATTATGTTTTTTACTTATACGTTTGACCAAGATTTGTTGATTTTTGAACTATGTGATATACCAGGAGTGTTGTGTTTGTTCTGGATTGTTCGGCTCGATCTGGATTAGTGGGTTCAGGGTTGAAGTAGTGAATGTGCTTTGTAGAGAGAGTATTATTTGTTGTTGGAGGTATAGAAACTAGGTTGGCTCTTTTTTCTTGATAATTTTATTGTGTAGCACCCCGACCTGCTGCCATTCTAGTTGTTTAGTCATATATGAGCTAATTAATTGTTCAATCCAAAAAAGCTGGTGAGATCTGAGAGCTGTCCTATACTTTGTGTACCAGTTACGTTCGACAAAATCTTTTATAGGGTATAGGTTTTGGGATTTATTGCACTCCATGGTGAGTCTATTGATGTTCATATTGTGTCTCTGAATATTCTGCAGACAGTCTTGTAAGAAATTGACCTTGCTTTTGAAAATATGTGAGCAGGTGTTTAGAATATCTTTTTTTTGCCATGTGAGCCATTGAAGTTCGTGGATACTGCTGTGTATAATGTTGCTAACTATGTTTGAGTGGAAGAATAATTGTTATATATCGCTGGCATGTTTTTGTAGCTGTTTAGTTTGTATTTTATTATGCCGTATTGATTATCTAGGTGGATCATTGTATTGAGTGCTGTACAGGCCAGACTGACCCATTGTCTAAAGCTATGTCTGATTTTCTTGTCAATTTTTGCACATTCCCCTTGTGAGAGGACTAGGTCTTGTAAAAGGTATTCTATTGTAGGGAAGATTACGTGATTTGTAATATATTGGTGCATTTTATCTGTAATTTGTTTTCTGGCAAGTATGTTACATAGGGAGGTTGTTTTGGACATGATAAAGTTTTATTAGTGCTTCTTGCCATCCTTAGATTCATACTATATGCCTAAAACTCTAATAGCTATTGTTGGATCTGCCAATGTTATTTTGAAGTTGTTGATATGAATGTTGTCTTGAGATGCATTAAGTATTATCAGTTCTGATTTGTGTGGAATGACTGTAATGTTATTCAAGCTATAAAAAGAGGTGCTGATATTGATAATATCCAGAAGATCCTTTTTGTCCTGAGTGATGAAAGTGGTGTCATCCATGTATACTGTGATTGATATGTTTATGTCTGAGAGGGCAAGATTGCTTTGTATGGACTTGTGACATTGTAGCTGACATCCTTTCATATTGCTAATAACAGAAATAAGTGGGTCATAATATATGCACCAAAGTAGGAGGGATATTGCATCACCTTGATCGATACCTTCTTCAACAAAGTATAGGTCTGTGTTACTGAAGTATATGATGACAGTGTTCTGTTGATTGTGGAAACAGTTTTTAATAAGGTTGATTGTTTGTAGTGGGATTCTGATTCGATGCATTGATGTTACTAGTCTTTCTATATTCACTGTATCGTAGGCTTTGCTCATATCCTGGAAGAGCATAAAGCAAGGCTTTCATGTATTTCTTGTATGCTCCAGCACTTGGTTTATTATTGTAATGGGTTCTTCGGTGCTATGTCTGGGGAGTGTAGCCCAGTTGTATGGAAATAGGATATGGTTGTTTGTGAGGATGTTCGCAACCTGTTTGTGAGGATCTTTGTGAATAGTTTCTTGATTGATTCTAGGAGAGTTATAGGTCATGTGATGTTGATGTCATTATGCTATTCCTTAGGTTTAGGAATAGGATATATTGTACCCTTCTTCCATTCCTTCAGAACTGTTTCTTTGTTGATAAGTTCATTGAAGAAGGTTGTGATAAGTTCTAGGAAATCCTTGCTCATATGTTTGTATGCTATATAAGATTTTTGTGAGGACCGAGGCAGATTTGTTACTAGTTTTGTTAAGGCATCTGGTGAGTTTGTCGAGTGTTATAGGGAGGTTAACTTTCTTGTACCAACTAGGATCAATGCTCTCTTTGGGTTCATATTCTTGTTACCATATAGTTCCTCTATATTTGTGCAGCTGATGCTGTTTAGTCCATTCTTTGAAATGTGACCGAACTTTTTCTTTAATCTCTAGTGGGTTAGTGATGAGATACTTTTCGGTGGATACGTTGTTAATCAATTTGCTAGTGACAATATTTTTCTTGGGTTGGCCGAATATGGAACTAATTATTTGTTTTTTGTCTTGGTTGAACCAAGTGTTGTGAAGTTCTTTCCACTTTTTTATGTCAGTTGTGGTTTTTTCTTTGATTGATTTCTTTATGGCAAGTCTTTCAATCTTTATGAATGTGTCTATTTCAGATATAATATCCAGGGTGTTATAATCAGGAATCCATACTGGCAGTGAAATTTTGGTGGAGATAGCTTTGTGAAGTTTATTGCTTCTACTTGGGCAGTATTTGTCTGACTTTTTCTCATGGAGGACCAACTGTCTTCTGTATTCATTTAGTTGTAATAAGAGGAATGGTTTAGATGTGACTGGCCTTTTTCTACGATTCTTTTGTTTTTCTTTGAACTTTTGGATATATTTGTTTATAGCTTTGAGGATTATATCACAAAGGATATTCTATGTTCGGTCGATACCTAAATTGTCCTGTAATAGTTCAGATGAAAAGTGATCTTTAGAGGAGTCTAGCTTATTTGCGAAATCTAGCTATTGTTCCTCTGATGTGGCTAACCAGGCAAATCGTGTATTATTGTGTGGATGGCGCAGGCATTTCATGGGGAGCTCAAGCTTCCATGTTTCCATGTATATGACCTAGGTTCTGTGATTTGTGCTGATACTATTGTTATCTATTATATATGAATCAATTGATCTCCAAGAGGGTCTGGAGCTATACCATATCATATTTATGTGGCTGGCCACGTGGGTTGCATTAGATGTCCTGGACCAAGTATATTCTTTATTATGGGAGTTGTGATATCGGAAGGTGTCGAATAGACTGAGTTCCTCTAATTTTTGAAAAAAGGAATCAGAGGTATATTTGATTATCTTTCAGTTACTAGATATTCTATCTATCTTTGGTAAGGGGCATGAATTGAAGTCCCTGCCTAGTGTAATGTGCCAATTTTTGTGGTTATGCTGTTTTATTCAAGAGATGATTTGTTTTTGTGTTTTATTTCTTTCACTGCCTGGTTTCGCAGGTGAGTATGTATCAATTATCAGCAAATTCTCTTGTTTGGAAGGGCTAGGTCGATGCAAATGAGTCTCCCTAGTTTTTTTTCCACATAGACGACTTTGTTCGTGATATTCTTTCTGACGGAAATGCCAATGTCTGTACCCATATCATCATTGCTGTACCACCAACTGGTGAATTCATTAGTTTTCCAATGTTGAGTTTCGTTGGCTTTTTCTTTTGTTTCTGTTGATATAATAATATCCCATGCCTCCTTTTTCCATGTTTCTATCCAGAGTGTTCTTTTTATTGGGTTATTTAGTCCTTGACAATTGCATGTGGTGATGGTTCAGAAAGATCTAGAGGTTGGATTTAGTATATTATTATTTTGTTCTTTTGAAATAGGAGAGTTTTTTGTATATGTGTCTTGATAAATATTGTGTGTGATTGAATTGGTATGGTGGGATGGATAGTCTTGTTCTGGTATCTTGTAATTTATGTTGTGTGAGGTGTGTAATTGCAGAAAAAAAGAAGTATCATTTGATTGATTGTTGCTTGTTGTGTTACCCATGATCATTGTCTTGTAGTAGATGGTATGGTTGAGGTACTTGGGAGGATGTTTGCAATGGTGAATATTAAGGCATTTATAGTTCTATCCATGTTACCAATCGAATTATGAAGCTGCTGTTGTTGATGTTGAATATCCTCTATGTTTGCTAGACATTGAAGGTCTGATTCTATGTGTGTCGTTTCCTGATTATTATACTCTTCTATTACTTCTGCGCTATTGTAGTAGTACTGCTTCAGGTTGTCGATTCTTTCGTTAGATTGTTGATGGCTTCCTTTATTGATTTTAGCTCAGCTTGGATTGTTAAGAGCATGTTCACTATGTACTGGTTGGATCGTGATGGTAGTTTGGCTGGTATTGTTATTATATCCTGTGTTTGACAGCTGATGCATAGGAACCAGAGTGATTGGAGATTTTTCCAGTTATGGGTTGTGTGAGTTTACAATTTTGAAAAAGCCAGCTGGTTTGAAATGATTGTATAGTTTTCCAAATCTCTCTGCTTGCTCGTAATTGTATTCTTTTTATTGTTCCTATGTTCCTTGGTAGTGAGTTGGCGATGAGATGTTGAGAGCTGTCGCAAATAGTACAAAGTTTAGTTTGGATGGTTTTGGTTTCAATAATGGTCTCCCTTAGACTGAATTGTTGTTCCAGGGCTGTGTGGAGGGTTTCTTCATCTTCAAAACTGATGACAGCATATTTTCTGGGTTTGTATAACATGAGATGAGGGATGTAACATGTCTTTGCCTGTAATTTCTGATATATGTGTCTCAAGTCAAAAGCTGTTGTATTAGGTGAAAGGTTCATGAGCTTGAGGGAGTGCTTGCCTCTGTCTTTCATTTGATATAAATCCCAGCAGGCATTGAAAATTCTGATCAAGTTGGCTTTGATGGGGATGCTCCATTTGGAAAGTAGTTTGGTCTTGTCTTCACATTATGCGAATATGATTGTAGCAATCTGCTACATTTGTTGAGTTGTCATCTTGATGTTGGTGATTTGTCCAAATTTGGCAAAGGTTTGTTGTATATCTATGAGTCTGGTGTTCAGGGGAATGTCCTAGGCTCTGATAATGTTTTCCTTATTTAGTTTATTGATCGTTTTTTGCATATGGGTTAATCTGTTGTTGCCTGTTTCTGATAAGGTTATATTGCTTGCTTTGTTTGCAGCCTGTTGAATTCCAAAAATAGTGATGATGTGATCTTCTTCGTTGATACGTTCATATTGGATGAGGAGAATTTCTTCGGGGAAGTTAAGTGTCTTTATGACATGGATGATTTTTTGGTGAATAGTTTGTCCTGATAGCTTTTCAGCTTTGATACCTAATTTGATTCGTTCTCTTCCATATCGTGTCTGGTAGTCAAAAGGAGATCTTGGCCGAGATCTGATGCCTGAGGATCTTGCGTGAATTTCCTTGCCTTTGCCTTTGTTCTTGCTGACTTCCTGCCAAGTATCTGAGTCATCTTTGGGTACTTCATTGCAATCCATTTCTATGTCTGAGTCATCTATTCTGGCTGCAAGGAAAAGATTACTAGTGGTTTCCTTCAGTGAGTTTGTGGAAGGGTTTCTTTCCTGACTTTGTTCAAGTTCAACTTGTTTGCTTCATGTATTGCTAGCCTAGTTGAGTGTGAAGTTTTCTGATACAATGTCCTTATCCGCTTGTTTGGTCTTTCCAAGGTTGTTATCTTTACTGGTGATTGTTTGTTAGGCAGGTATGGATTGTAGATGGTCTTCGGTTTTTGTTATCGCTGGGTTTCTTGTCTGGAGTAGATGTTTTCTTGTCTACTATGGGATTGCTGTACCCTTGCTTAGCTTCTCGACATTGTAGTTTGGCTTGCTGTTGGTGTATTACGGTCATTTGGATCTTTTTATCTTGCTTTGCTCTTTCATTGTACCTGAGGTATTGCTATGCCACAGGTGAACAGGGGGTTTTTTTTTCTTATGGATGTTTAAGAATATTATATAGGTATACTTTAGTTTTATCTTCTGTTTCTTCTAAAATATTGACTATCATTGTACTTAATTTATAAGTTCTTTTCTTTTTTAGAAAGTACAAATTTGTTGATGATATCATTTCTCTATTCTAGTAGTATAAGAATTGTATTTACTAATATATTGTCTTGTGATTGTTTTTTGGAGTTTATATAATTTCATCTCTTCTATCTCCTATGTACATATCATTATTACTTTATTGTATCTATTAATTTATTATTTGTTTGTTCAATAATCTCTATTGATTATTACTCTAGTTTAGTATAGTTTTTAGGATTCTTGATTATTTACATAAATTTGTCTTTAATATGTAGTTATATGAGATTTTTTTTTATCCCTTTACTTTATTACTAAAGATATACAATATGCTGAGTTAGAATTTATTTTTTATAAAAAGTTGTCACATCAACTTTCAATATTTTAGCTATTATATATCTACAATAGTATATATTTTTGGAAAATGAGGTTACTGGTTTATTGGATTACTATTTCTTTATTTTAGTAATTGTTATTAGGCTTATAGAGTAAAGTGTTCATTATATTTTCTTGTAAGGCTTATTAGAATATTTACTATATACTGTATTCTTCTCTCTTATTAACTATTTATAATATACATTGTACTCTTTTTTTTTTTTTTAAAGTGCAGCAAGCCACTTTATTAATTTTAGTATAATATATATTACTTGAATTAATAATCTGTTTACTAACTCTTTTTCTTTATGTATTTTCCTATACTAATCTATTAAAAAGCTAATTAATTCTGACAATCCCTTATGGCTTATTGCTCCCTGCTGGGAACTAATGTGCCTAGGTTCTGTTAGCACTGATTTGGAAAATATCAAAGATGTTATATATTCCTTTCAAGATATTATCTATTATATTCTGTATGCCAACTTGTTTTGACCTGTTTATCAGTATTCTTTCTTTTTTATGTAGTTTCTGTTGTAGTTTCTTTCTCTTTCGTTTGATGAATATTTTATTGATACCCTGTTCCTTTCCCCATTGTAACATTCTTCTGCATCTGTCAAGCCAGATGTTGAAAATGAGGAATCTAGTGTATTGCATGATACTTTTAAAGAGTGTCTGGTAGCTTTTTGTGTCCTATTGTTTCTATGTTGAGGTTATTTAAGGCCTTGCTGATACCTCCTCTGAAGATGAGTGTATTTAGGTTTTTAGTGCTAAACTCGACTTTGTTGTGTGTTATTTGGAGAGACTTATCATTTTTCCTGTAGTGGAGTTTTCTGTATATATTTCTGTTGATTTCTTCATAGATGTTAATATTGTGTTAAATGCAGGTGAAGGGGTGGTCATTATGTTTTATCTCCTTGCAGCTGTGACACTTATTTGTTTTGTATATGTTGGAGTGTCTTTTGTGGAGTTTGTCCATGGTTGGAAGTTCTTGGTTCCATAGTTTGATGGAGAAGCTGCACCGTTGAGAGTCCCACTTGTTTGTTTGTAGTTCGTTGAGTTTGGTTGGATGGAGAAGTGCGAAGTTATTTTTCCAATCTATTTCATTGTGATTGGCTTGAGTAATAGATGTGTTTCTGTTGAGTCGATTCCAATTTATCATAAGGTGTGCTTTTTGGATCTGCTTAATAGCTCTCAAATATTTTGTATGATCTCAATGTTGCCATCATAGTATGGTTGCAGGTGGTTGGATTCTAGACATGTGGGAAGAATTGTGTTGCAGTCATGTTTGTTATTGTTTGACGCTGCTTGGTGTACCAGTTCGTCAGCTCTTTTGTGAAGTAGGTTATCATCTTTTTTTAACATTTTGTGCCATGTTACCTTTTGTTTAAGGTGTTTGTTATATTGTGAAGGTTGAGAATCATTCTTTTCTCTTGTTGTTTGACTAGTCTCTGATTGGTTGTAAGCTTGTGATAGATGAGAATAAGGTTTTGTGAGTCAGTGTGTATATTGATCTTTTTGCCTTTTCTGGCTGTTATTCAGGCGATAGTGACTATTAAAATTTCTGATTTATATGCTGATGCTTATCCTATGAAGGTTGTATTGAACTCTATGTATATGTTATCTGGCGTAATGAAGATTATTCCTATTTTTATGCTGTGGTGGTTTTCTGTCTTGGTGCTTTCATCGGTGTATACTGTGATACATTGCTCTGTTTCTAGTCTTCTTTTGATTACTGATATTTCTGTGTATAGGTTGCCCTGTGCTTTTATGTTTTGTTTGAGTGTTTTTATACTTGTTGTTTCATGGATAATTTTTATTGAGTCCAGTGTGGTGTTGGGTTGTTGCCACCACTTGGTCAAGCTTTGTGGAGATATTTGTAGTCTTGGCTTGGAGTTGTTGTTCTTGTTTTGATTAGATTTGGTGGTTTTGATAATGGGTGTTTTAACCAGTGAGGATATCAATGTTTCAATACAACAGTTATGACCTTGTTGATCTATGTAAGTGGTAAATTGGCAACCATTACATGCTTCGACTGGTGACTTGCTGGTGATGTTTAAGTGCCTTAGTTTAATGTTTTCTTTGTTGTGGATGACTTTTTGACCAGTTATTATTTACCCTGTTTTTTCAAAAGAGAATCAGTCTTTCTGTTTTGGTGTCTGGATTCATGGGTATATGAGAGTGAGTGGGTTAAGTCCTGCTTTTATAGCACCTTGCATTAGGAGTTCATCTATTCTTGCATGGATGTATTTGTACTATTCAGGTTCTTTCCTTTTGTTTGATTTTTTGTTAAGACAGTCTACCTGGTGCCACTACAGTGTTTTTGTTTGGAATGTGTCTAGGATTTGTTATTGACTGCATAACTTGTATTTCTTGAGGTTCATCGGTGGAATTATCCAGGTCTCTTCTAGGAGGAATTCTAGGTGTTTGCCTGGAGGTGGGAGTGAATTAATCTGAGTGTGCTAAATTGTATGTTTTCTTTTTGTAACATTCTTAATTTGTCTTGGAGAAAGTTGAGGTCCTGTTTGTAGACCTTTGAACATTTTTTAGTGATTCTGGTCTTCTGCCATGCATCGTATTGAAGTTTTTGGATTCTGAGTCTAGTAACTAGGCCAGCTGTATTTTTTGCCTCATACAAAGCTTGGAAGTTACTGGCAAATTTTTGTTGTTGTTTCGTGTTTAGTTCCATTATGTTGTATAGGAAGGTTAAGTATAGGATCGTATTGGGACATGTTATTACTAGCTTAGTTCTCCTTCTGAAGTTGGTTCTAATCCTTGCATCGATTTTGGATGTTTCTTCCTTTGTCAGAATGATATCCTGTAGTAGGTATTCGATCTGGGGGAATAGTACGTGGCTTGTTATATATCTGTGCATCTTATCTATTAGTTGTTTACTTGTTAAGATCTAGCACATGTTATTAACTTTCTTTTTGATAAGCTGTCGCTGGTGGTGTTTTCCTTCTTTTTCTTTATGCCAGACACCCAGAACTCTGATGGTATTGTTGTTAAGTATGGGTTGTATGAGGTGGTTTAGAAATGTGATAGGTTCTTTCTGGTCATTGATTATGAGAAGCTCTAATTTCAATGGGTTTACAGTGATATTATTAAGGTGGTAGAATAAGCTACTAATTGCAGTGATATGTTTCATCACTTCTTTACTTTGTATGATGAATATGGTGTTATTCATATATGCTGTTATGGAAATGTTTATCTCTCCTGCTTTTGACTTTGGGTTTGTGTGATCTTTTTGGAAGTGTATAGAGTATCCTT